TTGTTTAAATTAAAATAAAATTTTTGGAAAATTATTTACTTTTGCTAATTAATATCAAATATTAGTTATAACAGTTAATTATTACTTAAGTTAATGTATATGATACTCTATAAATGTAATTCTTAACGTTACATTTTTAATTTCATATAAAAAAAAATACATCCCACTTCCATTACAAAAAAAAATAAATAAAAAAACCAAATTTTTCTTTAAAATTTCATGTCTTTTTATGTTAGTATCATAAACATAAGAAAATAAATAAATACTTTTTTTTTTATAGTTGTAACATATAAATAACAAAATGAAATAGAATATATCTATATTCTTTTTTTATGGTATATATTTTTTATGTACATATTTTTTTTTTTAATGTATTAGTTTACATGAGAACATTTTCTTATCATTTTAGCATTGTTTTATTAACTAGACGTTCAGAGACTTTGCTCTAGTACTGAACAAACAAATTAATAAAGAGCATGTAGAGATGCCTCTACGATTTTGGTGTATCTATATATACTTTTATATGCTTTGAACGAGTGATTCTTAATTATATGCTCTACTTCGTTCAGCATTCTTTGATTTCAATAGGCATTTATTTACTTTAATAAAAATCCTTATTGAATATTGACTATTAATTAAATGTAAATTTTTTATTTCTTTGTTATGAGCAATGTTCAGCAATTTAAATATATTGCTGTTGAATTAACAAACATAAACAATTAGTAAAAATGAAAATAAATTATATGAATATTAATTACGTGAAAATTTTATTGTCATATGTATAAAATTTTCTCTCACAAATTAAAAATATAAATATTATGCAAATTAAATTCTTTTATGTAAACATTTTTATTTGTTTAAGAACTCATTTTGTTGGTACTAAATCTTACTCTCGATTTTTATTTAACCAATTTTTCTCTCTTTATTATCCTATTTCAATCCTCTCAAAAAAAAAAATAAATATCTTTTTTTTTTTTTTTTTTTACGTATCTTCATTTTTCAAAAGAAAAATATCTCAAAAAAAATTCCAATAATTTTTTTTTTTTTTTCCTTTTCGCGTTAGCACAACCAACTAAGTATTCTTCATATAGCTAGTCCTTTTTATTACCAAAAAGGTTAATGAAGCCTTTTATTAACAAAGCATGCACGAGTAATAACATTTTTATTCATACATTTAAGTATATTTTAAAATAGACCTATAATACTATTTGTAGATCACTTACTCATCCAAATTTTTCTGTATTTTCAATTCTACTATTTTTCTATTAAAAATGATTTTCTGTTTATCACACATTATTATTTTTTTTATTCTCTTAATACTTACACATGTATCTCTATATATACTTTGAATATCAATTTTTTCTTCCTTTTGAATCTCTTTGTTTCATTATTTCCTTCTTGCTCTATTTCTTCTATATCCCATGCATTTTCTCTACTTTTATTATACTTCCTTTAATTAATTTTTTCTCATATTCTTCTTTATTTTTACATTCTTCTAAAAAATCATTAAATAACTTTTCCTCATAATATCCCATAAATTACTGTTTTTATTCTTTTAAACACTACTTCCATATCTTTTTTTTCTCCTCAAGCATTGATTTATTAGTTACCTACTGGTTAATAAAAGTCTTTATTAGCCTTTTTGGAAAAATAAAGGACTAGTTATATGAACAATATATAGTTGGTCATGCACACACACAAAAAAAAAAATTTGATGATTTTTTTTGTTTGCATTTTTATTGAAAAAAAAGACGTCAGGAAAGAAAAAAATTGATTAAAGAAAAAATTCAACTGGAAAAGGATTTGTTACCAATAAGAATGAGATATTAAAAAAAAAAAAAAAGATTTTTTTTTTTTGGGGGAAGGAAAGATGATTTTAATGAATTTTGTAAGAGAAAATTTTATACATATAACAATAAAATTTTCATGTAATTAATATTTATATAAATTTTGATATTTGTCAATAATTGTTAATGTTTGTTAATTCAACAAAAATATATATTAATTGCTGAATGTAACCCATAACAAATAAACTAGTAATTTACATTTAATTAATAATTAATGTTCAATAAGGATTTAAATTTTTAATAAAAATAAGGATTTTTATTAAGGTAAATAAATGCCTATTGAAATTAAAGAATGCTGAATAAAGTAGATTACGTAATTAAGGGTCACTCATTCAAAGCATTTAAAAAAATATATAAATATATTAAAACTGTAGAGGCAGCTATACATGCTCTTTATTAATTTGTTTGTTGAATACTCTAATAAAGTCACCGAACACCCAGTTAATAAAATATCTGTTTATGATCTCATTTTTATTGGTACTAAATCTTACTCTTGATTTTTATTTACAAATCTTTTTCTTCTCAATTAAATCATTTAAAAAAAATAAATATATTTTTTTTTTTTACGTATCTCCATTTATTAAAAGAAAAAAAATCAAAAAAAAAATTCAATAATTTTTTTTTTTTTTTTTTTTTTTTTCCGTGTGCACAACAAACTACGTATTCTTCATATAGCTAGTCCTTTTTATTACGAATGAGTTTAATGAAGCCTTTTATTAACCAATTACATATTTAAGGATCACTCGTTGAAAGCATTTAAAAATATATATAAATATATAAAAACCGTAGAGGCTACTCTACATGCTCTTTATTAATTTATTTGTTCAGTACCCCAGCAAAGTCACCGGGTAACCAGTTAATAAATCAACTATTGAGTAAACATTTCACTCAGACATTCTATATATTGACTTATTTTTTTTCTCAATGATATTTCTAATGAATTCATTTATTAATTGAACCATTTAATTCTTTTTCTATATTTTAAGCAATAAAATTAATAAAGAAAATGTAGAAAAATATCTAATATGTCAATTATTATAAAATTACTTCTTATGAATAATTATAAAGTTTTTATATAATTTTCCTTATACTATGAAATAAACAAATATTTTTTATATATTGACTTTTTAGTTATATTTTTTAATAGTTTTATGAGAAATTATGTTTTAAAAAAAATCATATACACGAAAAATCATTGAAATTTTTTTTTTTTTAAAAGTTGCTGTATATTTTATTTTGTATAATTTTTTTTTTTTTTTATACATATTTTAATATTCAAATTTTTCAAATATCTTATATTTACTGGAATTTTCTATACGGGATTCTTTTTATTGTATTAAAATTTTAAAAAAGCAAAAGATATCTTTTATTGATAAAATATTGAAAAATCAAAATAAAAAGGAGAATATATATGTATATCTACTAATTTTAGTTGTAAAATGATATTTATGTTAAAATGACTAAATTTCATTAAAATAATTTGCTTAGATGAGAATTTATTTATTTTAATAAAAATTATTATTTTTGTAAAAAAATTGAATAACATTTAAAATTATTAATTAAATGAATAATAAACTCTTAACCTAAATTAGCAAATTTATATTAAGGTTATTAATAGTATTTTAAAGAGATCAAAAAGTTAAATATTTGTCAGTATATAGTATTATTAACCTTGTTTTTAGCTGTAACAAAGATTAATTAAAAATATATTCAACTTTATTTGTGCATGTAATTTATACAAATATTTATATGTATAATGAAAGATGTACACTAAAGTATAGGACTCTAGAAATAGTGTAAAAAAAAAAAAGATCACTCCTTTATATTTTTGGAAGACAAACAAAAAAATTTTTTTTTCTTAGAATGAATATTTAAAAAGAGAAAACAAATTTGCATAAACATGTACGCTTTATTGATAATTTTTTTTTTATTTTTGTTTTATTAATGATTTAAAAAATAAATTATTTATTTATTAATTTTTGTTATGTTCAGCAATGAGAAGAAATTATTTTAATTTTATTTTAGTTTAATGGAGAATTCTACATGTAATGGAGTGTTTGATATCTTATAAAATGTTGATATGATTATGCGAATATTAATTTAAAATAAATAATGAAGTAGAAATTAATTAATAAATTATTATAAGTTAAATTAAGATTATATTCATTTCAATAAAGAACATAATTATGGATTTTTCTACATGCTTTTATTAAATTTACTATTAATAGAATTACAAAAGTTTCAATGGCGAATGAATAAATAATATATTAGCAAAAACAAAATCCCTTTTTATTTTTGTTATAAATTAGGATTTTATTTTTTTGGTTTAAATATTAATTAGAATGGCTAAATTTCAACACAATTCAATAAATTACAAAAAAAAAAAAAAAAAAAAAATATATAAAGTTAAAATTAAAACTATATTTAATAAAGAAATATATAGAAATAAAAAAAAAAAGTAATAAATATTTTCATTTTTTTTTTTTATTTTATTTTTTTATCTATTTAATATGCATGATTAAACTATGTTTTTATTATACGTTATTACTATTTCATATAGGATTATTAATTTCTTTTATTGTCCAAATACGTAAATGTAGAGACACATACACAAAAGAAGCAATAAAAATACTGAGAGGTAACATTTTTATTAAAGACATTATGTTTATATATATGTGAAATGTTTATTTAGGTTTAATGAGCATCCATTGCTTAGATTTATATGATATTAACTAATTAAGCACACAATTAGATTTAATTGAAGCTTATATATAAAATTTTAACGATTGAATTTAGTAAAAATTTCTTTGTATTCTCTTAATATGTTATATATTTATGATTATCCTTTAAGAGATAATTAAAAAATAATTTTAGTAAAAAAAAAACATTTATTAAAAATTATTGTGACAATCTATTATATTTGACATAGAAATTTAAATTTTTAAATCAAATTTTAAAGAATTAAATTTAAAAAATCGTACATGTATATTATAATAATGTTCTTCATTGTTAATAGTATTTACTGTGAACTCCTTCATAAATATATGTATATAACTTTTCTCAAAACATATAAATTTAAAAAATTTACAAATTATGAAGGTATAAATATGATTACATAATTATATATTAATTGTATGTTTTATTAAAAATAATTTAACTAATAATATCTGAAACATAAATCTTTATTCTATATGCCATTTGTTCAACATCTTCTGGTAATGGAATATTTTGTGACTCTAATAAATTATCAGTTTTAGCTTTCGTCATAGCAATATATTCTATATCATCTTCCTGCACACCGGAATTAAGAATCTGCATTGCGATTTCATAAACTAAATCACTCTCAAGGAGAAAAATTTTCAACATATTCGAAATTCTACTTTTTGATATTGATTCTAAAGAGGTAAGTCTAATGCATTCTTTTACTCTAATAAACATATTTCTAAGTTGAGCATATGACAATAAAATATTGTTTTTTTTAGCGATACCATTTATTGTTTGCATTATAAGTTTAGAATCAAAGAAAACATCTCTTGCTGTATGGCTGTAATCTTTACTATAAATTATATCTAGTAAATCCTTCATGACTTCATAATGTAAATTAGAATATAATTGAACATATTCCTCATTCTTCCAAGGAGCATTCTTAAATTTCTCATTATAAACAATTACGGCGCTATCAACAGATTGGCTTATTCTGGTAGCTATCTTTGTGATAACACTATCTGATAATGTGATATTTTGTAAACTTAATTTTCTACGAACTAAATCTAATATTTTATCCATATTATCTTTAATATTATATTTTACTTCTTCATCACTAGTAATTAAACTTTTCAGTAATTCTTCAGTTGCACATTTCTCCAACTCAAAAATTTTTTGCAAAAGGTTTTCCCTAGTCATACGTGATTCTATAGGAAGTTCCATAACACGTTCAATCATTCTGTTTAATATATTAAACATTTCACGAAGAGGTAAAGTTATTCCTTCAAAATAAAATCTACTGTTAATTTTTTCAAGCATACTTTCCATATCATTTGTAGCTTGTTCTATGCTATAATTTTCACTATTCACTTTAAAAAATAGTTCTTGAGATAAAAGATACTCTGAATATGGGAATTTAATTATAAAATTATCCTTTTCTAAAAATGTATCATCATCTTTAGTTTTACTATAAAATTCACGTACATATGGAATACTTTCTGCAAGACTCCTCTGTGATATTAATTTCATTTCATGATAATCTATTTGTAATATATGATTAAATGATTTTCGTAATAAACGAAAGTCAAGAATAAATATTATAAAGTAAGGAACCAATAATATGATATAAAAATTAAATGCTTTTAAGATATTCATTTTTATAAAAAAAAAAAAAATTAACTTATGTTATCCTACTCAATAATATACATGTAAAAATTAATAAAAAAATATGCATATAATATTAAAATGTGTTCATCGTATATAAAGTAAAATGATTATAAATTAATAAATTATAATTGCTTTTATTAAAAGATTCCATTAAAATTTTTTCACTTCTTTTAATATATCAATTTATTACTTAAGCAACCTTAAAATTTTTTTTTCGAATTTATAATTTTATCTAATTTACAATTAATAATTTATAATTTTACCTTTTCTAATTTATAATACTATGTTAATTTATAATTTTACTTTTCTAATTTTTAACTTTATTCTTTGTAATTTATTATTCTTTTTTAAATTTATTGAAATGGCTTATTTTATAAAAATAATGTTCATTTTAAATTTTCACCTAGCATTTTCTTATTACTTATGTTTAATTGAATGCTGAATTAAAATTTAAAATAAACTCATACTTTGCAACATAAAATATCCGTTAAATTATAAAAGAATATATTTTAGAATTAAGCTTTTCTATTGATGGTCATTTCAAAAAAAATAAAATTAAAAATAATTCAAACAATTGTCAAATGGTGCTTAAAAAAATAAGCATTTGTTTAATATTGCATATGTTAAAAATAAATTAAAACAATTGGGAGCATTGATATTGTAAGAATAACTTTATATTTTAATATAATAAAATTAAATGTTATATATACAAATTTTTTATTTAATATTTTTAAAAAAAATTAATATAAAACTAAATGATACATCCTATTTTTTTTTTGTAATTTTTTTTATTATAAATATCAATCAAAGTATTGCATGCATTAAAAATTTTTTAACAGAATAAATATAAAAATTACATTTAAAAAAATAAAAACTTTAAAACGAAATACATGAATATGTTGAAATATAAATTGACATAAAATTAAATAATTAAACTACCAAAAAAAGCACTGATGAAAAGTAAAAAAAAAAAATGTTATAAATATACAACAATTTGCTGTTTAAATTCTATTAGTAGCAAAAAAAATTTATAATAAAATAATTTTTTTATTAATTTTAATTTTGATTTTACAAAAATTATTATGAAAAGTTAAAATGAACTTAAAGAAAAAAATTTTTTTTTTATGTAATACAAAATTATTAAATATATGATGTGAATGATTACTTTTATTATATTGTAGTTTTTTGTTTTATTCTTTATTTTTATTTATAATATTTTCTTTGTTTAATAAAACTAAGAGTCAAAATTAGTTTCTATTTTAATTTTATTTTTTTCAAGAAAATTCAAATAAGTTATAATTTAATGCTATTGCATTTTAGTTATTTTGATATTTAGCATCTATTATTATAATTAAATTATATATTATTTATTTTTTCTGTTTTATAGTTTTTTTTGGGTTATAATTTAATATTATACTATTTTTGGATATAAGTATAGAAATTATGTTAAAAATATTTAATTTCTATTAAATTTTTTAGATTTTTTATATAACAATTTTATACAAATTATTTTGTTAATCTATGTGAATAAGTAACATCTTTACCATTGAAATTATTAGCTTTGTGTTTAAAGGAATTTGCAGAGTATTTAATAGACAAATTAATGAGAGTATACATAAATGTATCTATTGATTTTATTTTTTGTAAGAATTACTTTAATCATCATTTATTAACTATTCATTTAAAGACTTTTATGAAATATTTTAAAAAACAAATTAACAAAAAAAAATTTATGAAAATGTCCATCAATTTTATTGTTTTTAAATACCTTTTTTATTAAGTTGAATTTGTGATTATGCCTTCAGTTATTTAAAAATATATAAGATTTATATATAATGCTTATACAACATATAATAAATATCTCATACAAATGTAAAAATAATATTTTTGGTATGAATACTTTTTCTCTATATATGTTTATTTTTAGATAATTATATATATCTACTCCTTATCTTTTATCTATCCTTTTCAAAATATTCATTTCGTTAAATGCTATTTTCCTTATAAATAATATATCATAATTTTTATTATTATTTTAATAAAATAAAAATTAATATACATATGCAACGAAAAAAACTGTAAAACAACATGCATATATATATAAAGAAACATTTGTATTCTATACTTTAATTTTATAAAACTGAAGAATATAAACTTGTATATGGTTGTTTACTAAAGAGAATTATTAACATTTTAAAAAAAAAAAAAAAGCAAGAGATGTATGGAGTATACATTGCTATGAAAGTGATAGATAAAAAAAGAAATTAACTGTTAATTTTTTTTTTTCTTTTTGTAATTTTTTAAATACATAAAATATGTATTTTTTTTAAAAAAGGATTAAACTGTTGAAAATTAAAAAGGAGTTTTCTACTAAAAAGCTTTCTTGTAGTCAATTTGTTTAAATTTATATAAAATTTTATATTAACAATACAACTTTCGTGCTTTTTAGTATTTATATAATTTATTTTTGCACTTTTTTAATTGTTTAAATTTGTTAATTTTCGAGCAATATAGTAGCTATTTCTACAATCTCATCTCCATATGTTGTTCGTAGCAAGGACTCAAGTATCATGCATGTCTCTTTCCTAGAGAACCCTTGCATGTTTATTTTCTTTTCAAAATACGTAAACCATTCAAAATACTCCTTTAGTGATCCTTTTGCTAATTTTGGAATTTCTTTTATAATTTTTACTTCTGTTGATTCATTATCCTTTTTGGCCTTGAATACATAAGACTTATGAAAAGAAACTATGTCCTCCAGTATCTTCAATCCAAGCTTATCTATTTCTTCCTCAATGATTAATAATAGCTAATCTAAAGTCGATTTTGTTTGTGCTGGTTTCGCTTTCCTGCCGTTGTCGCGAATTGATTTATTAACTGGGTGTTCGGTGACTTTGCAAGAGTACTGAACAAATAAATTAATAAAGAACATGTAAAGTTGCCTCTATGGTTTTGATGTATTTGTATATATTTTTAAATGTTTTGAACGAGTGATCCTTAATTATGTGATCTATTTCGTTCAGCATTCTTTAATTTCAATAGGCATTTATTTACTTTAAAACAAATCTTTATTTTTGTTAAAAATTTAAATCTTTATTCAATATTGATTATTAATTAAATGTATATTCAATTTCTTTGTTATAAGTTATGTTCAGAAATTAATATATATTGCTGTTGAATTAACAAACATAAACAATTAGTGACAATACAAATTAATTATATAAATATTAATTACGTGAAAATTTCATTGTTATATATATAAAATTTTCTCTTACAAAATTAATTAAATCCTACTTCCCAAAAAAAAAAAAGAAAATCTTTTTTTTTTATCTCATTCTTATTGGTAACAAATCTTTTTCCAATTGATTTCTTTTTTTATAAATTTTTTTTTTTATAAAAATACAAACAAAATAAAATTGTTCATTTTTTTTTGTGTGTGCATGACTAACTACATATTCTTCATATAACTAGTCCTTTTATTTTCCAAAAAAGTTAATAAAGCCTTTTATTAACCACTATGTAACTGTTGATAAGAATTTTACATATTTCTCTTAATATTTTAAAATGTCGAATTATTTTTTTCATTAAAATGATATTATCACCAGCACATACAACTATATGTTTTTCTTGAATTAAGTCCTTAAAAATATTTTCCATTATTTTTGGAAATTATGCAGAACTCATTTTGAATCAAAATGGAAATATATTAAATAAAAAATATACATAAATGGGTAATATAAAACCTGTATGTTTTTTACTATTTTATTTTGATGAAATATTATAAAATATTTTTTTAAGGTCTATCTTCAAGAACCATTTAATACCTAGTAAGTAAAAGATATTATTTTCCATTTTGAATTTCTAATACAATAAAAAGATTACATATAGGAGTTTTGGTTTATAAATAGTGCTATCACCTCTTTTCAATCATATTTAAATAAATAAAATAAGTAAAAACTTTTTATTTCTGCATGTGGTTAATAATATGCATTATTAACCTTTATGGAAAATAAAAGGACTAGTTAAATGAAGAATACGAAATTGGAAATGCATACACAAATAAAAAAAAATGATGATCAATTTTTTTTGTTTGTACTTTTTTTTTAAAAAAAGTACAAAGACCGTTAGGAAAAAAAATTGATAAAAAAAGAATCAATTGGTAAGAAAAAAAAAAAAAAAAAGAATTTTTTTTTTTTTGGGAATAATATATGATTTTGATGAATTTTGTAAAAGAAAATTTTTTACATATAACAATAAAATTTTCACGCAATTAATATATATAATTTTTTTTGTATTGTCAATAATTGTTTATGTTTGTTAATTCAACAGCAATATATATTAATTGCTGAATGTAACTCATAACAAATAGACAGGTAATTTACAATTAATTAATAATTAATGTTCAATAAGGATTTAAATTTTTAATAAAAATAAGGATTTTTATTAAAGTAAATATACTCTTATTGAAATTAAAGAATGCTGAATGAAGTAAATTACATAATTAAGGATAAATCGTTCAAAGCATTAAAAAATATATATAAATACATGAAAACCGTAGAGGCAACTTTACATGCTCTTTATTAATTTATTTGTTCAGTACTCTAGCAAAGTGGTTAACAAAAGGCTTCATTAGCCTTTTTGGTAATAAAAAGGACTAGCTATATGATGAATACGTAGTTGGTTGTGCACAGGCGAAAAAAAAAAAAAAAAAAAAAAAAAAAAATTATTGAATTTTTTTTGGAGATATTTTTCTTTTGAAAAATGGAGAGACGTAAAAAAAAAAAAAAAAATATATATTTATTTTTTTTTTAAAGGATTGAATTAAAGAGAGAGAAAAGAAAATTGGTAAAATAAAAATCGAGAGTAAGATTTAGTACCAATAAAAATAAGATCTTAAAAAGATAATAATGTTTACATAAAAGAGTTTAATTTGCATAATGTTTATATTTTTAATTTGTGAGAGAAAATTTTATACATATGACAAAATTCTCACGTAATTAATATTCATATAATTTATTTGCATTTTTACTAATTGTTTATGTTTGTTAATTCAACAGCAATATATTTAAATTGCTAAAAATAACTCATTACAAAGAAACAATTAATTTACATTTAATTAACAATCAATATTCAATAAGGATTTAAATTTTTAAAAAAAATAGGGATTTATATTAAAATAAATAAATGCCTATTGAAATTAAAGAATGCCGAACGAAGTAGAGCACATAATTAAGAATCACTCGTTCAATGCATATAAAAGTATATGTAAATACACCAAAATCGTAGAGGTATCTCCACATGCTCTTTATTAATTTGTTTGTTCAGTACTCTAGCAAAGTCACCGAAAACCCAGTTAATAAATCAATATTTTAATGTAATAAAAATAAAATGAGTTTTTTTTATGTTCTACTTATTAATTTGTTTTTTTAATACTATCAAAATGGTTAATAAGAGAGATTATTAACTTCTTTGAGAATAAAATAACTAGTTATATGGAAAATAAATAGTAATCTATGCAAGAGTTAGATAAAAAAAAAGAAAAAAAATTGGATGATAATTTTTATTGTTTTCTTTTATAAATTAAATATATAAAAAAGTATTATTTTTTTTTTTTGGAAAAAAAAAGAGATGGATGAAAAAAGTTTGTTGAAAAATATAAAAAGTAATTTAAAGAATAAAGAATTTTCTTTTGTAGTGAATTTTTATTTTGAGTTTTTAAGAAAAAATTTTATATTAACTATAATAAAATTTTCATATTTGTAATGTTTTCAAAATTTAATATGTACTTAATCAACTACTTACGTTTGTTAATATAAAAACGGCGGACTTTAGATACTAAATATTGTTCATAACGTAGTAAGTAGAAATATATTTAATTAGGAATCATGTTAAGTTAAAATTTTAATTGTTAATAAAAATGAGGATTTTTATTAAAGTAAATAAAAGCCTCTTAATAAAACAAATGATCAATGAAATAGGTAATATATAAAAACAGTTTATTGGATTATAGTATTAAAATTATACATAAATTCATTAAATTAGTAGAGGAAACTCTACATATACTTTATTAATTTGTTTCTTCAATACTTATAACAAATTCAATGAAGAGGCAATTAATAAAGTACTCTTTTAGTAAAGGCTTCTCCTTATTTTCATTAAAGCATAAATATCCTTTATAAAATACTTTAATTATTTGTAAAATATTTATTTCATATAAAATAATAATTTTTCGTTAAAATTATTAATATTATTTTCAAAAATTACTCCAATTTAAAGCAAAAATTTTTTTTTATTATTTCTAAATGAAAAAAATAATATTCATGAAAAATAATTAATTGTTTTAGAATCATTATTTATATATTTAATCAAAATTTTATATTTATAATAAATATTTTAGAATTACTGAATATAAGTGCTCTTTTTATTAATCTTTTTAAATATCTTATAAATTAATTAGATAGATAAAATTAAATAAAATATTGGATAAACATACTTTTTTTAAAGAAATATAATGTTGTATAATTTAATTATTCATACGATGTAATTCAATTATATAATGCTTTCTTATTTATAGGAAAAATATATGATAATAGACAAAATTAATGGACACTATTCTGCATGTTCCTTACTAATTTGCGTGTAAATAATTTATAGAAGTTTGTTAGTAGGTAATTAACAAATCACATACAAAATGGAATGTTCCATATCTTAGAGGAATAAAAATATTTATAAATCGAAACTCTCTAAATTTTAGAAGATCGAAACATATTCAAATTGAATTGATTTTGATTTGCAACCGTTTTCAAGTTAAGAAGAAATATTTTTTTATATATATTTTATTTGTATGTGATTACTAATAATTTTTTTTTTTTTGCAAAAAAAGATAAATGAAAAAATAGAAAGAATAAAAATATTTTGTGATAATATTTTCATTTGTTCAATTCATGTAAGCTTATGAAAATGCTTATTATGTAATATATAAATATTAATTACTAAAAAATTATTTTTTTAATTTACATCAAGAGTATTAATAACATTAACAAATGTAATTGATATTATTTTACATTATCTTTTTTAATTTTTTTTCTTAATATTTTATCAATGTCTTTGAACAATTGAAGAATAAATTAAAAAGTTAATTTACCAGTTAACTTGCATAAAATGCTTCATATATTATATATTAGTACTATGTATTAAATATTATAAATTTTTCATAGTTAAACATTTAAACATAATATATTCTCTTTTTACTATTATAGAAATAATTGCTTTAAAAAACATAATATATATTATTTTACGTACTTTTTATGAAATTAGTCATCCTATGCTTTATAAAACTGTTAAACATAGAAAACAACAAATTAATAATAAAGTAAATTTTTATTTCATAAAAGAAACAATACATTTCTTAATATTTACACTTTTTTATATATAACAAAAAATAAAAATAAGTAGCTAGAAAAAAAAAAAATTTTTTCCTTAGCATTAATATAATAATAATAGAAAAACATCATATATTAAACCCAAATGAAACTTATTTATGTTATTTTAATATTATATTGTCTCTCTGTGATTTATTAACTAAGTGTTCGGGGACTTTACTATAGTACTGAACAAACCAATTAATAAAGAGCATGTAGAGATTACTCTACGATTTTTGTATACTTATGTATATTTTTATATGCTTTGAACGAGTGATCTTTAATCATAATCTACTTCATTCAGCATTCTTTTATTTCAAAAGGCATTTATTTATTTTAATAAATAAATTCTTATTTTTATTAAAAATTTAAATACTGATTTAACATTAATTATTAATTAATTATAATTACTAGTTTATTTATTATGAGTTATATTCAACAATCATTTTATATTGCTATTGAATTAACAAAACACAAATACTTATTAAAAATGCAAATAAATTATATGAATATTGATTACGTGAGAATTTTATCTTCATGTGCATAAAATTTTCTCTCATAAATTCAAAATATAAATATTATGCAAATTAAACGCTTTACAAAAACATTATTATCTTTTTGTAAAAAAATCTCTCTCTCCTCAAGAAAAAAAAAAATTTAAATCTTTTTATTTTTTTTTTTTTATTTTTATCTTTATCTTTTTCGAAGGAAACATTTCTCAAAAAAAAAATTCCAATAATTTTTTTTTTTTTTTTTTCTTTCTTTTTTTTTTTTTAGTTAGCACAACTATGTATTCTCCACATAGCTAGTCCTTTTATAGCCAAAAAGGTTAATGAAGCCTTTTATTAACCACTCTGTTATTTAGTTACACATATTAGAATTTCTCCTCCGTTAAGATTTTGCCATTATATTACTTGATCTGAGGGTATATCTTCATCTATATAGGGAAAATTCTTGTCGTAACCGAATGCACGAAGAAATCTATGTAATCTACTTCTCTTTGCATTTTCTGTTCTTTTTACTTTTAATAATTTAGGAGAATTTATACATTCCATAGGTATTTCATTTAATCTTTTCTTTGCTTTTTTTTTTTTTGGATTATCTCTTCCAAGAAATTTTCCAACAGGAGTATACTATATTGTAAATTAAAAAATTATTTTTAATGAATGTAATTTTAATTTATACAAATGGTTTGAAAAGAAAAAAAAAATATATATATATTTTTGCATAAATAACTTCATCTTACCATATAAAGAAGAACAAAAAAAAAAACTCCCCCGAGAAGAGCAACAGAAACAGGAAGAGCAACAAAAGCTGGTCCACATAATAATCCTGTACATGTTGCACCAGTTAAGCCACCACCATGTTGTGTAGGGATTAATGCAGTTGGATTATTCGTTAAAACAGTAGCAGTATTTATTTCATTTGTAGAAAGAATAGTAGGAGAATCACTTGTATTTTTTATAGGAGTCGTAGAATTATTATGAGAATCTGATGAAATTGTAGGTAAAAAACTGGTTGATGATGATAAATCAGAGTCGGATGACAAAGCAGTTGTAGGTGATACAGTTGATTCAGGTGATAAAGTAGATATGGGCAATGTAGTTATGTTAGATGATTCAGTTGGTGTGGGTAATGAAATGGAGGTAGATGGTGAATTATGTGATGATGCAGATGTAGATGATGAACCATTAAGATTTGTTGTTACATTTGCAGCATTTAACATTCTTTCTTGGATAAATGTATCTAATGCCTTATCTAATAGAACTTTATCTGTAAAGCCTCTCCATGAAGTCAGGGTTTTATTAAAAAAACTCTTTACCTCAGGATCTGATGATAAATTTAATACATTTGTAATATTTCTACCTTTTTGATACATCCATTCTAAAAAATTCTGGGTATTGTTAGGTGTAAAACTTTCAGTTAATTTATTTAGATTATCAAAAAAATCTTCTTCAATATACTTTAACCAAATATCCAAAAATTTTTCATGTGAATTGGTTGATCTTACTCTTCTACTACTTGTTCCTCGTTGTTGTTCTGCTAGAATTCTTCCACATCTAAGACATAATTCTGTTTTTAGGTTATTTTTTCCAATTTCAAAGCTATGAAGTGGAATTACATTAAAAAATTAAAATTATAAAAATTATTTTTTATAGAATAATGCAAATTTTCAAAAATATAAGATATAAATATATTTTTTATGATGAATATTACTTTATACTGTAAAAATATTGGAATATACAAACTAAAAAATAAACATAGATAATCATCATTGGGAAATAATATATTTTTATTTTTATTATTTTTGAATGTTCCATTATCTCTGAATTTAGTAAAATTTACAAAAAAAATCACTTGATTTATATATATTTATACCATTAAAATTTTCTGTATTATTTCAAGTAATTCTAATAATATGTTGTAAAAAAATATATTTTATTATTATTAAACAAAATTTTTGAATATAAAATAATTACTAATATTATCGAATAGTTCTTAATACGTTGTTCAATGTAACATTAATTAAAAAAAATAGAAATCCTATAGATTATACTTGTAATTTTTTCAAATATACAAAGTAAAACAGTTCTCAAATAATATGAAGAAAAATGAAACAATGAAAAAGATAAAAAATTATATTTATATTTTTTAACTATACTATTTTCGATTTAAAATATCTATACATGATAAATTAATATTTAACAAAAACAAATTAAGCATTAAATATAAATCATCAAATCTTTCATATTGAATAATTAAATTAAAAATTATAAATATTTAAAAATTTAAATTTACTAATAAATATCTATAATTTGTTAGTAAATAATTTTAAAACACAAAATGATTTTTCTATTCAATGAATAATTTTTTTTTAATATTTTAGATATGTAATTTATAGTATATATTATAAAAGATTCTTATGCATGTAATACAAAAGAAATATTTAAAATAGTTATATCTAATGTTTAATTTAAAATGTATTCAATTATATATACGTTTAGTTTTTACTATGTTTTTTAATGAATTAAATTAGAAACTAATTTTTTATAGAAAGAAAAATATACTACATGTCGTAAAAAAAAAAAAATATGATAAAAATTACAATTATTTAAACCGTTAATAAAAAAAACAAGAATATATAATGGTATTAAATCAATAATAAAATTAGTTATTATATCATATGGATACTATAGTAGTGAAAAAAGATATACAAATAATGTAAGTTCTTTAAAGATTTCTAGGTTATCGGATTTATTTAATATATTTAATATACAATTAATTATGATTTTGTTATAATGTTAATTTAAAAAATTAGTAGCATGCTAATTAAATGATCATTAAAAAAGTCATTCTAAATTAAATTTTATTCATTTTACTGTATTAATGCATTTAAAATCGAATGATACTTTTTATGAAAGTAAAAATTAAAACAAAAAGAAAAGATAAATAAAAATAAATTCAATTTATAAAAATACTATCTCAAATAATTAAAGAAAATTTAATAAGAAGGTACTTATGATTGTATCTAATGAAAAAAATATATTTTGTAATAAAAAATAACAAATTAGTGAAAATTTTACCTCATCCATTACATAAAAATACTTAGAGATAACTACTGAACTTTAATAATGAAATAGAATATTTAAGAATTTATATGCATGCATTTCCATTTTTACATATTGTTAACAATTTAATAAAAAAGAAAAGTAATAATTGCCTTTAAAATAATGAATAATACATATATATCAATTATGAAATAAGAAATAAACATGATAGCGCATATCTTACCTATTGAGGTAATTGTACAGTTAACCGGAACATGTATATTAATAAAATTATATGTAATTTATTTCTATAAAAATACTAGTAAAAAATATAAATATTTAGAAGAATTTTAAAATATGAAATTTCTCCATTAAAGATAACTTTTATTAAAGTATATATAAAAAAAAAATAATAATGAAAAAAACATTTTGGATTTGCTTTAAATGATTAAGAAAAAAAAGATATATTCATCCTATTATGAAAAATTGTTAAATTTTAAGAATTATATGAAATTATATCAATTAGCAAATTATCCCTAAATTTGTTCTTATGCTCGCTATAAGTTGATTTATTAGTAAAGTGATCGATAGTTTTCCTTTAATAATGAGAAAACAACTCAATATAGAGCATGTAGCACGATATATTAATTTTAAATGTTACAAAATTATATTGATGCTACAAATGTATATTCTTTATATATATTGTTTAAATAATTAGATATTTGTTTTTTTAAAGTTATTTATTAAATAAGTTATATTTAATTAACTTATTTAAATGTTTTTTAAATTAACTGATGTAATAGGAATAAATAATATATTAATCCTTATATTTTAATTA